CTTCAGTGTCTTGCCTAACATTCTAGAGTTTGCTTATTTTTTCGTATTACTGGATTGGCAAGGAATTTTGCTTTTGTGTTAGTTTTTAATATGTGATGTTAATTTAAAAACTGACTTTTTTGTGTTTTTTGATTTTAAGATTTAGAGGTTGAGCCTCCATTTTTATTTCTGGCCTTTGTCATCAGTTGATATTCATGATTTTCGTTGTATAAATTTAACTTGAATTTTTCAAAAGTCTTCTTTGTGTTTTAAAAACAAATGCTTATGCAGATTGATAAATTAGTTGTAAATTTTTGAAAATAATGTTAGATCTAAATATATGTAAAAGTATCACTTCATTCCAAGTAGTGTAAAACGGAATTTTTTTTATAGAAATTACAATAAGATAATGTTATTTGAATGCAAGTATGAAGCAAGCCTTTCTTTAAAAGACTCATGGACTTGGTACTAATTTAATCGAATACTGTTCATTTCTGACGCTGTGTAAAAAATTATAGGAGTCAATTCTTAATTTACTGGTATAAATCAGCAGTCCCCCTGTGGGACAGCAGTAAATTTACAGACTTACAACACTAAAATCCGAGGTTTGATTCCTCGCAGATAGCCCAAAGTGACTTTGCTCTAAAGCAAACTATAAAAAAGTAATGACTAAATAATATTAATTATAATATCTAACATTAATAATTGCTTGTCTTATTCCTGGTATTTTAAAGATAAAGCTGTGAAATCACAGGATAATGACTTAATTTCCTGTCTACAGACTTCTCGACGTCCAGTACAAAAGGGCTCCTGGGAAGTTTTATGACAGTGATAAATATTTCTGCAAAGTGAGTACACATATGTGAGCCTTTTCTATGATCCCTAATTAGTTTTTTGTTGTTTTTTTGTGACTTAGGGCTTCTGATTTTTGGTTTAATCCGAAAAGCACCGATAAAACAACCCCTATACAAAACCAAAATTAAATCGGTGTTTTCCAAATAAACACCAGAAATGATGATTCAGTTTATTTTAACCTCCCCACTTTACCGAGTCATGTTACTCGCGATATATAACCCTTTCCATACAGACTACAGTGCCTTGGAATATTACTCTGAATGAAAAGGAACACGTTTCGTCCATTAGTGGTAAGTTTGTTTTTATAATTTCATATAAAATATTAGCTGTTCTTACAAATCTTTGACATAAATAAAACTATATTATGTATCTTTTATTACACTCATAAGAGATGTTATCGTGCAGAAGATATACGGTATAGTAATATACTCATTACAATATTAAAAGCGAAAACTTCGAAAAACACCGATATTAAGGTATCTAAATAAAATTATAAAATAGCTGAAAATAAACAACAATTTGAAAAAAAATGAACACCGAAAAACGTAAGCCCTACTTATATTGCAGGGTGTTACAAACATCTGTTTAATGAGTTTTAGGCAGCTGAAAACAAAGTGTAACGTTGAAACTTTTCCAGAATATGTTATTCTCTTTTACTGAAACGATAAAAATAGTTTACAAGTTATATGAAAATAATCGTAGGATTTTGCATGTAATTTTCTCTAAAATTGTTAGACAAATTTAAAATTATTTGTCCTCATTTGTTAACCTTAATGTAGTAATTACAAGGGAAAGTATTATAATTTGGATTGAGAACACTAATTGTTAATATGGTATTTATCTTAGCTTCGGATTCAACAAATCACTAACATTACATATTTTATATGATGGTATAACTTCAGTGAATAAGCGAGGTTGTCTTAGTTTATTGTGGATTCAAAATTCGGTTCTCCTGATATTTTGCACAGTATGTAGTTAAAAGACATCTCTCGAACGTTGGGTGTAGAATGATAGCAGTGATGCTCGTATGTATCCATAAGAATGGTATGGGAAATCTATTGTGAATGATAAGTTTCGTGTGTCGTGCAAAACATATCTAACCAAGAACACCTTAGGCGTGTAAAAAAA